CTGGATATAATAAAGCAAAAATGATGTACATTTACTCCTTGAATATTTTGGTCCTATCTGGGAAGAGTGACTGATAGTTAGAGGAACAGTGTTTAAAAATTGACAATGTAATAGAGAAGTTCTTGGGGAGTTATTTAAATTTCAGCAGTAGACATCATTATCACTGCAAAGGTCAGATGACTGATAGATCTCAAGTCCAAATTACCTCTAACTCCATCACAATAGCTTACAATGTATGAAAACAACCATGGATCAGAGCAAACCCTACACTGCAGTGGCATCTTGGCCAACTCCATCAAGATGATTCATTTCACCTGTCTGCACATCATTTTTTCCATCCATATTGCTCTTAGAGGAACAGTTCACTCAAGTAAGGCACAATGGCAAAGATTAATGCTTTCAGTACACTTTGAGCTGCTAAGGGAAGCATTAATATCCATTCTCCAGGAAAAAAATAATTCTTGGAAAGAACAAAACAGAGCAACTCTAATAGCAACCAAGTGACACAGCTTTTGAATGGTCTTATGCATTGGAGTTGGCCACCAAAAGCTCTCCAGACACCTGAAGCTTCTTAGAATGAAGAAACACTGCTGCAAAGCTATTACCTTTAATCCCAGCAGAGCAGGTATAGTAAATCCATCATCTCTTTCAAACATAAAGATCTAAAGATAAACCCTCCTTGGTTCACATTACCCTGAACAAAACCATCAGTGCTCAACAGAGAAAGAAGTGCAAACTTAAAACAGCAAAAAACACCAATATGGGGGAAAAAAGGTCCATGTATGCAAGAGATGGATTGTTAAATGACACAACTTGGAATGGTCATTAGCAAACTTTTTTTTAGGCAGAGTGGGAGGAAAGAAAAGTCCTGAGCAGATGATTTAAGACAGCTGCTGCTTACAGGGAGGAGCTGTCTGAAGAGATAAGCCAGGAAAATGAGTTCTAATAAAGCCAACCAGTTTTCCTCTGTAGCAGCACAATAAAGGGTACTGAAGTGATGAACAAGTAAAGGCATCTGTCTTCCTAGAAAAGAAATTCACCACAAAGAAATTCAAGCTAGCTGGAAATTCCCTGATGCTTAATAGGAACAGCATGGGGATCATCTATTTTAGAGAAGCTGAACTCTGCAGTGTAAAATAAGCTTTCTTTCAAGACTCTGTGAAAGTCAGCCAAACTTTAGGTAGGAATTATTCTACAAAATAAAAGCCTGACTGGAAAGCAATGCAAAACCTAAGATGTCATGCTGCAAACAGATTCTTAAAAGCAACTGCACGGATTAAAAGAGCCCAGACTGAAAAAAAAGCTGGAAGGAGGGTAATTGGAGGAGACACAGCCAAAGGCACAGTGTAATGCACTAATCACTACACCAAAAAGTCTTTTTTCACTATATGCTAATAAGTCCTCATCTGGATTTTGCAAACAGCCCCAGTCACCCATGTTCCAGAAACGACAGGAATCAGATCAAAAGCAGTGTGGAGGGGAAGGACAACTCACAATTAGACAGGCAATAAAAAGCCTGTTTTACAGGAGGAAACTAAGTCCAGTTTCATCTAGTAAAACCAAGAAACCACTATCTGAATATTCTACACGGGTGCATTCAAGGAGTAAAGACTACACCAAAAACTCAAGAACAGACATAAAACTCACATGAATGGAAGGCCAGACTTGCAGCTGGGAATGAGCTGCAAGTTTTAAGAGACCTCAAACATTACAGCTATTAAAGGGCTATTCCAAAGCTGAAAGAACAAACTGCTTAAACAACTTAAGAGATCTTGATAACGTGCAAGCTGGGTAACCCAATCACTCATGAGAAAGAGCATGCTCTGACATCTGGGAACATTTCAGCCCCAACAGAAGGGCTGCCATTCCCTGAAGTACAATAGCAACAAGGAAATCAAGAGGTTTAACAAACACCTTTATGTTTATTTATGCTACGAGCAAGTTTACACATTGTAAAATAAAAAAAAGAACAGGTAACACCTGGAACTGCAGTTAATGAATCTCTTATTCACCTTATTGAAAGGCCAAATCCTCTTCACTGCATAAAATCAAGTATCTACCTTAAGAGAACTTATCTAAGCCTTTGCAGATGTGCACTCATTTCCTGAACTTACTTGGCTATAACAAACACTTCATATGTGAGCATCCTGAGCCTGTCTGAACTTGATGTTTTTCCCCTCAGGGACTGTCCCTCGTGTTTTCAGCTTCTTCTGACTCACCCATTTGAAAAGAAAACAAAAACTCAGGGCTCAAATGCCTACACAGTACCCTACTAACCCACTCAAGATTCTTAACAGTTTCATCAGAAAACATTGAATCTTTGAGTGGGGTTTGAGTGTTATCCTGGATCCCTTTGGGGTCCAAGCTTTATCCATGCCTCCTAAGGAGAAACTTTACTCCCTCACCTGAATTAGCCTTGATCCAACAACTGCTCTCCACTAGCTGGTGACAGGTTCAGCAACACTTCAGAGGGGCAAAGAAAACCAGAGCCTTCAAAAGCAGCAACAGAGGCAGTGTAGACATGGGCACTGCCTTTGGTTCAGTTGTGGTTTGGGGTTATTTTTCTGGTTGTTGTTGTTTGGGAGGGTGGAGGGTTTGTTGTTGCTCTTATTTTTTTTGTTGTAGGTGGGGAAGGGGGTTGCTAGAGGGGTTCTTTGGGTTTGGTGTGGGTTTTTTTCTCTGAGGGAGTCAGTTCCTTCTCCAATCTAGCCCAGATAGCCACCAACTTCAAAGATTTTGCTCAACTCTAAGAAGCCAAATTATGACAGTGTCTTATTAAATGCCATTAGCAGATAAACCATGGAAGTACCAACCACATTTCTAGCTATTCAGTAGCCACTTGACTAACCAAGTCTAAATGAAACAGTGGGTTTGAAAATACCTTGGGCCTCAGCACAAAAAAAAAGCCACCCTTGCAGCTCACTGGAGCAAACCTGCCCAGACAAGTGGTGGACTGATTCAGTAACAGCTTCAATTACAAATACCAGTGCTAGCACAACTGAGAAACAGCTGACCACCAAAACAAGGAACTGCTCAGGGATTGGTATTTTTCTCTTTTCTTCCTGTTGCTGGGGGCTTGTTTGTTTGTTTTATAGGGTGAGGAGCAAAAGTAGAGTCCAACAACTGGAAGATTAGCTGATGCCCTGGATGTGGTCCAGGGCACCACAGAAATTCTGAAAGTGGAGAGTCAGAAATTTTTCCTATAATTGGCAGCTTTGTTTCCTTAACAGTTTTCTCCCTTCAGGGGCATTTCAGGACACCATGTTGGGCTGTTTACAGTTTTGGAAAGAGCATTACATAGAGCAAGTAAAAGGCTTGGGGCTGGGCTGTGCCAGCTGTCCTCCAAGAAGCTTTAAGGATTCCCACCCTCAGTGTGATATCAGCTCACTTGTAATCATCACTTTTACAGATGCTGAACCTCCAAAAAAACCCCAAAGTGCAGCAGCAAATGGACAATACTTCACAGGGGTACAGGACCCCAGGAAAACACTGCCAAAAAGGTTTCTCTTCAGATGTCCTGCCACCCCCAATGTCTTTGGCACTACCTCGTGTTATTCAGCCCTCCACTGGGGGGAAAAGTTATTTTATGTGGCCTTTAGCTCTCAGACTACAAATCTATTACCACTGCAAAGAACTTGCTTGCAGAACCCAGCACTAAAAGCCTTTCCTGATGTGTGCACACTGTGTGTAAACAGCTCTACCAGCCTTTAAAAAGAAAAGAAGAAAAGCTGCAATCAGTAAATGCTACTTATCACCAGAGTCCTAGCCACAGGATACAAATGGCTAAATAATCTCAGGCAGTTTTGCTGCTCAAAGAGGTCTCAAGTGACTGACCAAGAAAGAGGCAACATTAAGTGAAATACAAAAGCTGTCTCTGGCTTTGCAATCTGGGATTCACAGGGAGAAGACAAGTATAAAATTCCCTAGAAAAGACCAGAGAGGAGAAATCATGTGCTGCTAGTTTGTCTCAAAGCCCTTTTGTCAAATTTTAAGACTCCCAGGATGCATTGACTGCAAAATGGGTGTGATCCACACAGGTTATGGGCCAACACAAGCTGTATATATTGTACTAAAAGAACACAGATGGGAAAAATAAACCCAACAAAACTGTTGTGAACAACGAGGCATGTCACTGACCTGCAAAACCACAACCAAAGAAGAGAGGAGAAACAGATGATTGGGACTCTGAACTACCCCAGCTCTGGCCACAGGCCTGCCTATCCTGTAAGCCACTAACTCCTGTGTCCCAAATGTCTGTTCTCCAGCAAAATCACCAGCACCAACAATAAAGCATGACCCTTCATTTCTTCAGACTAAACTGCAGCACCTCAGGTTTTCAATAGCAGCAAGACATTTAAGAGTTCAAAAGTACTTTCCTGTATTTAATAAATCTTAGTAATTGAATAAATACTACTAATGATTTAGGATTCCCACTACTGCACGTGTGGGTTCTCCAAGAGTGCTCAGATCCTCAGATAGGTGTGAAAAACACATATGCAGCACTGCAGCCCAAATGCTTCCTCTTCACTAGCACTCATCCTCCTGCAGACTGCTCCTATGAATCATGCTACTTCCTTAAAGCATTTTCTACAAGAAACCAGTTTCCCTTGTACTTGATACAGGTTGATTTTGAGGCAAATTGCTTTATCAAGACCCCCATGTCTTTCAGAAGCTCAGGAGAGCATAGAAAACACTGCACACAC